AACCTACCCATGCTAGTTGCTAGCCTCTCAAATGCTAACGCTAGCCTAGGCATGCTTGTCACACGCCTCTCCAATGCTAATGCTAGCCTAGACATGCTAATCGCACGCCTCTCCAACGCTAATGCCAACCTATCCATGCTAGTCACATGCCTCTTCATTGCTAACACCAACCTATCCATGCTAATCGCTTGCCTTTTCAATGCTAATGCCAACCTATCCATGCTAATCGCTCGCCTTTTCAATGCTAACGCCAACCTATCCATGCTAATAGCTCACCTTATCAATGCTAATGCCAACCTATCCATGCTAATAGCTCGCCTTTTCAATGCTAACGYCAAGCTATCCATGCTAGTCACACGCCTCTTCAATGCTAACGCTTGCCTAGGCATGCTAATCGCTCGCCTCTCCAATGCTAATGCTAGCCTATCCATGCTAGTCACACGCCTCTCTAATGCTAACGCCAACCAGTCCATGCTAATTGCTCGCTTTTCCAATGCTAACGCCAACCTAYCCATGCTAGTCGCACGCCTCTTCAATGCTAACGCTAGCCTAGGCATACTAATCGCTCACCTCTCCAATGCTAATGCTAGCCTATCCATGCTAGTCGCACACCTCTCCAATGCTAACACCAACCTATCCACGCTAGTTGCTAACCTCTCCAATGCTAACGCTAGCCTACCCATGCTAGTTGCATGCCTCTTCAATGCTAACGCTAACCTATCCATGCTAGTCGCACGCCTCTTCAATGCTAACGCTAACCTATCCATTCTAGTCGCACGCCTCTCCAATGCTAACGCCAATTTGTCCATGCTTATTCGCTCGCCTCTCCAACGCTAACGCTAGCTTATCCATGCTAGTTGCTAACCTCTCCAATGCTAACGCTAGCCTTTCCATGCTAGTCGCACGCCTCTTCAATGCTAACGCTAGCCTATCCGTGCTAGTCGCTAGCCTCTCCAATGCTAACACAAATAAATAGTCTCCTTCACATTTGCCGGTCCTCAGTAACCGGGGACCAGCTGCTCAGTTAGCAGTGTCAGCCTATCAATAATCAGATCAATAGCTGTCTTAGGAATAGATATAGCCTCCTGCTACAAGGTTGTAGCAACTGCTGGTTGCACAATAGTCTTAATTTTGTCCCTCATAACGCACTATAACCAATTTATAAATGTTTGAAACGGAGGAGGATTTCTCAAAGAAATCGTCAGACGGAAAATAGAATCAGCACAATTACAGTTTTTAAAAAACATTTGCACAAATGTCCCGTCTTCAGAGTCATGGCAGAGGAACTGACAAACGCCAGAGCAGCACTGCAGAGACAAACCAGAGAGGCACAAGGAGCGATTCAGGACCTGCTGCTGGAGAGGGAAGAGTTCACAAGAGACATGATGCTCACGCACAGGTAACATTCTCCAGAACAGGCAGCAGAAAGAAGAAAAAAGTCTTATAATATCTGTCCCCTTTTCCCAAAAAATTAATTCAAACAATAATGATGTAGAAAAAAGAAAAACAAAAACATCAGATCCTTGTACGTTTACATACAGGATCACCTGTCTTCACCCTCTGGTGGTGTGAGATAATTAACAAAAGTCCTGAATGAAACAGTGATTAAACATCTGAGTTCTTTGGAGTTTATATTCTGGTTAAAACATGTTTTTTTATGTTTTGTTCATTTTCAGGTCTCTGGAGCAGCTCCTGGTATCTTTGCAGTGGGGCAGACAGCAGACTTATTACCCCAGTTCTCAGCCCCTCAGCATGGGAGAGCTGGCTGCAGCCAATCACAAGCTGGCAGACGCCATCAACTCCCACCTGCTGGGCAACAACAAAAACAGCAGCAGCAGCATCGGTGTGACGAAGAGCAGCAGTGTGACGAAGAGCAGCAGTGTGACGAAGAGCAGCAGTGCAGCAGCCGAGCAGCTCTGCAGCACACCAGCTGAAAAGATGGCCGAGAAGGTACCGGCTCAAAATCACATTTGTTATTTATTGTTTTTTCGTTCTGTAATGCTCGTTACAAAAAATATATATATATGTTTTTTTTTATGTCAGGTTCTGAAAAGTTTAAACCCAATCCAGTGTTCAGAAAAGAAGGCGGAGCCCGAGCTCAGCGATTCCACCTCCTCCAACTTCCTCAACAACAAGAAGAGCATCGGCCGGTTCCACCCTTACACCCGCTACGAGAACATCACCTTCAACTGCTGCGAGCGCTGCACCGGAGACATCATTGTTCTGTAGCCAAAGGCCAGGAGGAGCCCTCTTTCATCAGACTTACTTGAAGCATCGCTTCATGGAAACTGATTCAGTTTTCTTTTTCCCGATACCTGGTATTTATTTTATTAAGGAAATAAGAAAATAGGAGTTTTATTTTGAAAATCCAATGCTGTAATTTTCTTTAACTCGGTTTAAACCACGTTTCATTCTGGACCGTCGAGTCACGGTGAATCGGTGAAACGATAACTGGAACATATCAGTGTTGTTTTTATGTATTCCTTACGCCTGGTTCCCCCTGCAGCATAATTGTGCAGATTTTCAATTAAATTTCACCCTTCTGGTAATAACGACGCTCCGATTATTGTGATATTTTTAAAAATAATCTTATATGAGATATTTCTGAGACAATAAATTGTCTCAAATTATTTCCTGATGCATCTCAGGAATCCAGGTAGAAAAAAATCAAAAAGAAAAAATAAATAGGTCCTCTGGATGGGCTCTTCTTTAGTGAAACGTTTCGTCTCTCCTCCAAGAGACTTCTTCAGTCTGAAGGGTTTCAGTTGAAACTCAGCCTTATAAGCCCCGCCTCCACCTGGACAAACAGGTTAGTCAAATGCAAAATAGCTACCTATACCTATTTTTCTCTTACCTAATCTTTTCGCCATTATTCCGTTCTCTCTTTGAGAGGGGTGGGTTTAGGATGTTTTTCTGGGGGTTGCCAGATAGGGGCACAGACCGCAGAAGGGTGGAACAGAAGGTCACGTTATATGTGTGTATGTATGAAATAGTTACTAACTAATAATACTTAATAATGAAAATAGTTCATAACTAAGGAATATTTTATTGCAAAAGTCCAACTTTATAATCAAATATAAATACACGTATATGAAAAAAAAACTAAATAGTCTCTGGTATTGTTCTGGGTGCCGGACCAACTGATGACTCGGGCCGACCGTAGTCTGGGGACCACTGGTTTAGTGGAACCAGATGACACGAGTTGGTTGAGTAAATTCTTCATTTTTTAGAGTGCAGAAGCTCATAATGACTTCAGACATATTTAATTTGTAACTAGGTGTTACATTTTAAAGAAAATTTCTAAAAGT